TAATAGCTTTTTTTTTGCAACGGCAGAATCATGTTTTGCGACGGTGTGGTGCGTGCGCAAAACAGTATTAAAAATATGAAAAATTCATTTTTTGCGACAGTTACTGCTGCGCAAAGTATAAGAAAAATCAATGAATTCTATTTTCTAAATAAAAATTTCATTTTTTGCGCAATTGGTACTGTGTCGCAAAAGTTAAACCTGTAACAAATCAATAAAATATTCAAATTTCTATTGTTTTGCGAACGATGTAATGCCTCACAAAAATAAAAAAACATCATGCGATAAACATTATTAAATGAATATAAATTATCTCCATATAGACTATAATATAAATTGTTATATAAAATAGCATATTCGTCCATAATAATATTATCTCCATTCTAATTAACATCAACAAAAATTATCCCACTACATAATGTTCCATAATCATATTAATGTTCCATGACTGATTTTCGTTTATTATTCGAAATAACATAACCAATATATATTATTTTCTCACATGTCTTTGAAGTAACAAAACAAAAATTTTCCATCCTCCACGAAGTAAAGATTCCACAAGACGCCCTCCTACATGGGAAATATCTGAAAAAATAAAAATAAAATAATTAATAGACATATAATTATAGTGTTACTTAATTTACAAAACACATAAATTAACACTAACAACAAATACACAATTTTTTTGTTAGTCACAAATCTACATGGATAAAAAACATCTCAACAAATACAAAATAAAAATTAACTAACTATACATCAAATACAAAAAAACAAAAATCTATATCTGAAATCTGGCTCTTAACTCCACAACATCAAAATACAGATTTTTCTGTTAGTCATCAAGATCCCAATAGATAATTAAACATCTCAATCAACATGAGAATAGATGCAATTTGAAGCAATAGCAAGGAAATAATCTATAACACCTCTAAAGAAATGTCAGCTTCTAGCTATCTATGACAAAATTCATCAATCCTCAATTCTAATGCATTAGCATATTATTGTTGGTAAGCATAAGGTGTAAATTACTAGACGAGCTATATGTCCACAACACAAAATGTAAACTCTAGACTATATACAACAGGTATTTTATTGTGAGTGTCCATACTATTTAATTTGTGGTTAAGGAAAGCTCCAATGTCCTTTGGAAAGACAATTTTAGTACATACTCAAACGACTCTAAAAACATTGTGTCTTTCTAATGTTGTACATACACCCTTTAATATCAAATAGAGGTTAATATAGCACCTTATAAGTGAATTGTAAAATAAATGGAATAAAAGACTAGGACAGCAGGAGATTCTACCCCCAACAACACTTTGATGGATTCAAATTTGTACGTCTCTAAAGAACGGCAATGTATATTCAAATAATAGCCTGAAACATCAATCATTGAGTCAAATCAGTTAAAATGAAAATTTAATATGAAGAAACAAAACCACTTACAACTCAGAGAAGGCTATATCCATTTTTTTGATAACAACAACGAAAGAAAGAAATACACTGGAAACAGACTTCCACTAAACATCTCATCCAAGGACCTGCAGAGAACGACCGTGGTGTTAAAAACTATTTTCCATTCATTGCAATCAACACTCCTGATTTCAGCACTGAAGATAACCTTATTGTCGTCGAGGCTAAAACAATAAGATAAATTCTACGTAGCAGCTTTTGCTCAGTATTAAAAGTGACAGCGAGGTGTGTTAAATTAATATTAGGAGTCTTTAAAGGCAAGTCACGATAGGTTCGTGTGCCAGTCGCTACATAGGCGGTCGTGTGTGCCACGTTTCGTAATGTAGACATCTTAAGTAAATATGAGGATGGTGCTTGTCATTTTCTCAAATATGGTGAGGAATTGTAAAGACATGAATGAATTAATGATGGGTAAATTTGGCATGGATCCACTTATCGTAGGAGCCTCAGATGTAGTTGAAAACTAAAATTTCTTTTAACCTTATTCTTCGAAGAATGCAAAGACACTTTTAATGAATATTATATTTAAGCATAGCCTCGTCGCTTCCAGTACTATTCTTTAATGATTGATAGGAAGAATTGGTGGTTCCTGTGTGATTCGGGTAGGCTTGACTAATATGTTTGCTGGATTGAACAGGGGCAGTGAATGAATACGAATTCACAAAAGGTGAATGGTGAATGGGAAGGGAGACACCCCGATGACATCCTTTAAAATGTTAAACTGTGAATCTATACTGACACGATGAAACAACTCTACAAAATATCCACCTCTTTTTACAACAGATAATCATATTGAACCATCAACATATTTGTTTCCTAAAACATCCAACAAGCCTACTGAGTACACTTAATCATTAACTAAAAAGAAATCAGAGGCATGACAACACACATAATGAACCATTCATCCCTCAGTGAGGAACATCGTATATTGAAAACGTTAAATGAACTTATAATGCCAATTTTGTTCAAATGATAACTGTATTTAATAGATATGCATATCTGGCTAAAATGTAGGGAGCATCTAAAAGTTTGAAAAAATGACAATTTTTTGATGGATTGGTTTGGAATGTTGGCGATTAAGAGATGTGATTTAGGAACATCACACTTATCAATTGAAAGGGGCCTACGATGGTGGTCTAAAAATGGTTAATGGGACAATTCTTGACCTAAAAGTCAAATCCTCATTTGCCTACATTGATTATTTAACTTGGTCGTCACATGTGGTTTTATCTCTCTTAAAAGTTGTCTCCAGAACTTATGATGTACAACTTGTTTGATGTCTACGATTTGTATCAAAGTAAATTTGATTCCATTGAGTATCAAATCTAGATTTTATTTACAACTGATGACAAAAACATTCGAAGAGAAGGGCATGAGCCATCAGTTGATGCATTCATAACAAACAACTTCAAGCACTTTTGAAGGCAATATCAATCTTACTACGTCAATATCAGGATAGTGTATATCGTGCGGGCAATGGTGACTATTAGACCAGATCCCCATAGTAGCTGGCGGTATCCAATGCCAACCTATCAGATGCCAGAAAGTAATTGCCCAGCTTGAATCTAAAACAAATGAACAATTAAGTTCCATCCAGGTTCTGTCTTACCACCACGAAGTACCACCTAGAAATTCAGGTCACCCACAGCAGCGCGGCATGCCTACAGCGCTTGTCGCTCAACTGTCAAGCATCTCCACCAGCAGCAATCAGCAC